ATGATATTAAATCTATTATCATTTTTACCTTCCTTCTAGGAATTGAAATATATATTTATATTCAATTCCAACACATATTCATGGCCTAAGTTTCTGTATCTTTTCTCTATAGTATACGTATTCCTATGTGCAACCTACTTATATGTGTGCTTTTGTCACATATTATCTCCACTTTTCTGAAGCAGAAAGAGTATGAGTAAAGAGATACTGAAAGTGCTTCTCTCTTCCCTTCAGTTAATCCCAGAGACAAACTACTTTTCATGATCTTGCTCAAATAAAACCAATTCCATGAAGACATTTATGACTCCAAGGACAGCCTGACTCTGTCTTCTACCTCCCAAGAAAACATTTGGATCATCTTATAAAATTTAATACTTTATTACATACTACTCTCAAATATATAGTCACATTTAAAGATTTTTATTTGTTTTAAGATTTAGAACCAAACAAAAATTAAAACAAAGCAAAAAGAAAAAACAAGATAAATACCAATAATAATGGTAAAACATTGTACCACTTCAGAAGTTAATATACTTTTCTCTTAAAAATCATAAGCATTTTTTACCAAAGCTCCTTGCTGCTGGACTGCTCAGATTCAAATATCTCAACCACAGCATCCATTAGGGATCCATCTGATAGTTTATGCTTTTTAAAATTATTATAAATTATTATAAAATACAGAATAAAATATCAACTATTGTTCTCTACGGAGTACTCCTCCTCTCAATTAGATTGAAAACTGTCTAAAGATAAGAACAATATTGTTCTTACTTTTTGGCCTTCATAGAAGATGTATGCTATTGGAAGCAAGTATTATATATCTGATGACAGACCACCAGCAAAGTTATATTTACTCCTGTCACCTGTCTAATAATACTTGAAGCATTACCATTGGGTAGAGAATATAATAATAAAAGTCACCAATTCTCTCTAGCTATTTCTAATAGAATAAAAATTGTGTTCACTAACACTGATATGCTGTAAAGTCAAAAAATTTTTTTAAAATGCTTGTTTTAAATGATTTAGCTCTAAACAGCATTATAAAGTAAGTTGAGTGTAATGCTTCAAATACAGTAGATGCACTTCAGTTTTGTTTTGTTTTGTTTTTTTTCCCCAGAGGGGAGTGGTATAGCCATTAGATTACTAAGTACAGCATTAGACTCCTAAAATTTGTCAAATCACATGAGCTAGAACTATGAACACATAATTACCTTCAAAATATCCATATCAAGATAAAAGTAACATTAAATTTCCATCTGATAAAAGCCTTGTTTACCTAAATTAGATCTGAACAGCGGTATAAAACTTTTTCATTTTCTCTAAAAATAACTATTAAATTTATTCTAAATTTAAAGAGGCAGTTGAGACACGTTTTTTAACACTAAATTAGTTAATGTATTTTTTTTTCATTTCTGAGACTTGAAAACATATAATTTGGACAGTTTCTATTTTCAAAACTGTTAATTGCACAATATCTCATCCTAATAGTGAGCAATTTATTTCATATTTCCTTCTACTTCTTGTCCATAAGCACATATGTTTATCACACTTACAAGCATAATATTTAATATTATTTCCCTCCTTTAAGGACATATAATCAAAACATTTCTCCCTAGGTTTCCATTACGATACTTTTATTAACTATGCACTATAATTGTTAACACAATTGTTTTTTTATATATTTTAAGGAACTATGCAAGAATATGCTAAATAGCAGAGATGAAGAGTTAAAACTGGCTGAAGAAAAAAGAATGTTTAAAACCAGAAGTGAAAAAAAAAAAGTCTAACTGTTCACTTGGGTGTGTGAGACTGAATGAGACACAGTCACAGAGACCTCTCAGATGACGCAGGGTAAGTGAGATTAGCAGGCATAGACCTGGAACCCCTCCCCTTTTTTCAACCTTTTTAGCAGTTTTTCTTATGATCATCAACAACATTTCCAATATTATAACAGTGATAGTCTATATTACTACTCCACAGGAAATCACAAAATTGTCTCAGTTGGCAAAATAACCCGCACCCATCCCTAGCTTTGTTAGAGTAATGCTATAATAGGAGGTATATTTTCTTCTATGCATTTTCTATGCCAGTTTCATTAATGGAACAGTTCATTGCAGTCAACAAAATCTCTTTTTCAACATGAAATACTTTAAACTGGAATCTTGCCTCTAGGTAGCTGTATGAATTTTATTGCTAACACATGATCACATTTTTACTTATTGCTAAAACAAACAAATAAACAAATAAAACCTGTAATATTTCTCCTCTGGGATGGCAAATTCAAATCAACACTAATTACATTACCTGTTTCAGACATCTTGATTTTTTTCTCCCAGTCTTCAGAGAGCAATAGTCTTGTAGTTAGCCAAATTATACATTGAACCCCCAAATTCATATCCGTCGCATCAAAGCATCCAAATCAAAGCACAGCTCAAGATTTTCTCTAATGTGGGACCAGATCTTATTTTCTACTAATTTCCAGCACTCCCAAATGCAAACTAAACAGCATTGCTTTTGGATCCCATTCCCAAGAAGCCTCGGCTTACCTTGTTACTGTCAGACAAATTATTAACAACAACAAAAAAGCCCTATAGGCTTTATTGTTGTAGGTCTCCTACCAGATGAGCTGTTGATCTGGTTGTGGTATACCACATATGCAGAGTGTGCTGAAACAAACGGTTCCATAATTTATTTCTCATGAACTACTTCATTTAAATATATTTTCACAAGGCCCAATGCACATTTCAGGAAGACAGTGACCAGGATACATACACCAGGATACAGAACTAGTGTTTTAAGATGTACTTAAAAATTTCACAAACAGAGTTTTGTACTTTATCAGGTTGAGAGGTCTAGAAAGGAACATCTGCTTCTTGATGCTGATTGTTAGTCTATGATGTGTTTAATAGCAACAAAGGAACCAACTGAAAGTGAAATCCTAAACTGCAGTAGAGCAGAACAAGTATTTAGCTAGCACTGAGAAAATCATCCATCATCAACACCAACGCTGTTTACCATTATACAGATCAAGCAATTGATTGGTTTCTTCATTTTGTAGCTAGTTAGTCTATTATCCTGCAGTTCAGTCATTTAAAGCTTGGTATTTAGTGATAGGATATGAACGTACATATAGGATTCAAACTGAATCAAAGTCAGGCCTTCATCAATTCCAAATACATTAAAAAACAGGCAAAGTTTTACTAATGGAACAGTTCATTTTATGGAAGTTTACTTTATGTGAATACAACTAATAACAGAGTGAGGCAACATAAGGTGTGGCTAAAGGATTTTTTTTTTCGCTAAAGGATTTTTTAAATAAAATAAATATGTATGATTAAGCCCTTGGAAACACTGTTGTCAGAACGTGGCATTTAATTTTAAATTTTCAATTGGCAAATTGGTCACCATACCATTTCAGGATTTTCAACTTGAGAAATTTAGAAAAATATGAGAATAACAATAAAAACAACTGAACTATAAATAACATAATTAAAGTCAAATTACTAAAATATTGAAAGTTCTCACATTAAAGTCTTGCATAAAAACCAAAGGAAAACATTGATATTTAAAATTAAGAAGATGATTATGAACATCTCTATATATCTTTCCAATATACAGTTTTCATTGGTGGGAAAACATTCATTCCTGCCCGCTGAAATTATAAGAACATTTGAAGAAAAGCCCGATTAGACACTGTGTGGAACTAACGTGTTTTTGGAAAATGTTACAGGGTATTTTACACCTACATTTGCCATTGTATATCTATTGTCCACCATACTTCAAATTCAAAATAACAAAGTAGAAAAAGATGAAGATTTCACTTTGTATTGCTAAAATATATCCTTCCCTAAGACATACAAACCTGACTGGCTAAAGTTATTCTTTTTTTTTTAATATTTTGAGATTGACATGAACATAGGCTTATAATTACATAGAAGTAAGGGGAAAAAAAATTTTCAATGGCCAAACTATATGATATGAACAATTATTAAAAACGAGAACATAAATTAAATTCCTTTTTCAAAATCTTTTAAAGAATGAAAGAATGAAGTGCCTCTTTGTTGCAAATAAGAGCATAAATTATATGCCTTTAAAAAGTGTATAGTATGTGATAAGACTTTGAGAACAACTAAGATTAAAAAGATAAAAATATTTTGTGATAAATTATACTCTTTTAGCAAATACTCTTAACTAAAATACCATAATAAAGGTGTTTTATTAAATGATAATTTTACTCCCAAAGTTGTGGCAATACTATAAATATAAACTTACATAAGTAAAATATCAAGTTTATCTTTTAATAATGGGTTATTACATAAAGCAATATGCCTATTTCAGAGTACTTGATGTTATTTCACAAATAATATTTCTCTAGTTTCCTTCTAAACCAAGGCTCTCCAATTTGATTTGGTTTCACATATGTATGCACTATTGACTTGAACTCTTTATCGCCTTATGAAATCAAATAATCAAATAATTCAGTGTAAATACATTTAGACAAATATATCTAATTATGGTCTGACATATTTTTTAAAACCCAAACCTATACCGCAACAACAATCATTCCCCAAAACCAGTCCATATGCATATCCTCGAAGAAGATTATAAACTTGTTTCTAAACTCATGTCAAATTTCAGGTCATTTTATGGCATTGTAAAAAAGAAAAGTAGAAGGAAAAATTTGTTCAGGGATTAATTCATCTTTAGACAGGCTCTGCATTTCACAGGGTTTTAAAGTGAAACCAGGAAAAACATTACTCAACAATGTGAATAATTTCACTACCTTTCACTTTCAAATTTTAAAATCAACCCTAGCTGTCTTCCATCAAGCAATTTATGGACACTTATAGAATTTAATGAAAGGATCAAAAATTTTGGTTCAAACAAAGTCAACAAGCATAGAACAATGAATGAAACAAAGCAAAGCAAAACAAAACAAATCAAAACAAAACTATCACGTACTTCATGGATTAATGGTGAAAAGAAAAGAGACTTCTTACCAAGTACCCCAAGTCGATAGTTGACTGTGATGACGATCACATTGCCATAGCTTGCCAAGACACTCCCATCATATAAATTTCCAGTACCTTCCATATAAGAGCCACCATGGATATACACCATCACTGGTTTGGGACCCCCACTGTCCCGAATATCTGAAAAACAAATGGTTGGCAATTGTCCTTATCCTCAAAAAACACACATCATGAAGCAGAGAAAACATTTTCCATTTTAGGGACAAAAGAGCATGATTTTAATACAGTTCTTTAAATTGCTGTTTTGTTAAAGTGTTTCTTCAGCAATTCATATTACGAGCTATTGTGAAAAGAGCAATAGATATTCACTGTTTTCTAGCTAAAATTTTGTTAAAAATTATAAATTGAATTACAAAACTTGGACAAATTAAAAATGAGTGTGAATTTTAGTGCTTTTTGATCAATTTCTAACGTGACAGTAGAACAAGAAAGAATGATAATGGATCTTAGAATTATTATTTTTTTAAATGTCATAGACCTCGTATGGAATTTATGAGCCATATGCTAAGGACAATGTTATCACTGCTATTGTGAATAAAACACCTTGTTTTTCCATTTCTTATTTACTATAAAGGTTGTATTGAATGCATCATAATTAAATTGAATAATTTATGCTCTAATTTGTGAACATAATTACAACACTGTGTTTTAGGTTGCAAGAAGTTTTGTTTCAACTATTCAAGTACCAACTGGCAGATGAATGTTTAGGCAGTAAAGTCTGTACTTTTGTCATTGATGAACTTAGGGGACTGTCACTTAAATGATCTTTTTAAGTTGAGTCTGGGTTATCAGCTCACTCCACTGACTCTACCCTCTGGAGGAAAAAAGTAAACTAAACTATATTTTCCCCTCTTTGTGTAATTATTGTATTCTTCTTAGTCCCACTTTGGCTCTATGATTTTGTCACGTAGACATGAAATAGAATACTATTTCTATTTCTGTAACACTATTACTATATCTATACAGCTAAGCCCAGATGTAAAGTGCTCAAATTTAGGATATTAAAGTGGCTTCTACAGCTCTGACTTTTAATCAACTGTGTTTACTTTTCTAAGATACTTTGCCCGAATTTTGTAGTTTTCAATAAGGATCTAGAAATAGTATATAAGGGAACCACAGATAATTTTAATTGGTATTAAAAATGCCCTATTAAGAAATAGATGCTTAACTTTATATTGGCAAGCATTGTTTTAACTATTGAATTTTGAAATATTATATATGTATGTATATGATTATGAATGCATACATATATAAAACATTACAATTCTATAATAGTCCATTTTATCTTCTACCCACAATTGAAACTAAATCAGATGAGTGTATTTTCTTTTTGTTAATGCCAATATTAAAAAACATTTAAAAGTATAGTTTTGTTCTTTTTTATCAAACTTAAATCTCCCACATCTTTACAACTGAGGTTTCAGCTTTCAGAATGGACTAATATAATACAAAATCGTTGAAAAAAACTGGTGATTATTTGGATGCTCCTTTACATTTCCTGTGAAAAGCGTGATTTTTTTTTACTGTAATAATAAAATAATTTCCTTACATTAAAAATTCTTTTAGGATCAGGAATTGCAGCTCAACTCATTTGTCCAGATTCTCAAGTTGGGTAAACAGCTCATTGCAGAATTTAGAGACTTTTTAAAAAGATTATTTTAAATTGACTTAATGCCAGTATATAAATTTACCATAATCCCCTCTCCTCCCTCCAAGGGTGACTTGAGAAGAGTGTCTTAGCTTTTTAAGTGATGAGAGGAGGATACTTTGACATAGAAACTATCCATTAGACAGAACTACATTTAGAAGGAAAAACTAAATTTATTTTCGTCTTACATCCTTGGGAGGGAAAATGGTATCCACTCATTTGTAAAGATTTGGGGGCTTGCGGAGATGTTAGACTTACAGAGAAAACAATCCTTTTGACATTTTTAACTGTTCTCCATTTTTAAATGCCTGTTTGCTACATACAGTTTTAGCTTATTTTTCTAGTATGGCTGGCAACCGAAGAAGCAATAATAAATTATTAAACTGAAATCATTAACTGACTGTTCACAGCAGACACTGTACTCTGCTAATTGTATGCTTGTAGGTAGCACAGAGGGAGGCTGTTTCAGAATTCTTCTTTAATTAAAATTACATAGAATTACAAAGCACCAACTGTGAACAGTAATGAAATCTTGGTAGAACCGTTCTGTTCACCTGGAAAACAATACAGTCACACATTGAGAAGACTTGCCACATTTTATATCTAATAACAGAATGAAGTGGACTTTGTTGGGAAACAGTGAAAATATGACAATGCAACTTAGGAGCTATTTTGAGTGGTGTCTATTTTTCTTTGAAAATTAGACTTGAAAGAATTACTGAGAGTTTGGGCTGATTCTAATTTCCAATTTGTCTTTTCAAATTTCTCAAAGATTTCAGCCTTGTTTAAGAACTTAATATACCAAGCAGTTCTTTTCTAGAATGTTACATAAAATTCTAACAATGTCTTCTGAACACTATTTCTTTTTGCTTGAAATAATCCTGAAGCTAATGATATAGGGGTACTAATTATCAAAATAAGTAAAATTCTTGCCTAGAACAACCCTTAAAATTGCTATTAAAGTTTAGAAAGATGTCATATTTCTATTATAGGATAATTGGAGTTCTATGATAGTGTTTCATCACAGAGGTCAATCCTAGACTTAATTTTCTTCATAGTATACAGATCTTTTTGATGTAAATATAAATAGTAAATACCTTAAATATAATATATGAAATAAATAGGAGTAGTTTAAATTGCATCTATATTCACACTGATTTGAAAAAAAAACATACTACTGTTGAACATCATCTGCTAATGCCATCACTTTAAAAAAATTAGGAACCATTATGTCTTTAGTGCAAACGTATTAGACATACTTTAGTAATTTATGATGAATTTATTAGAGCTAAGTCATGCCTTTAAATTTTGTCTCATATTTTTTTCTCTATAAATAAGGTGGATTTCACCTAAGATATCTGACTTTGCCTAAGCAGCTGCTACAGACTTACTAAAGTTAAAACCACTCTCAGAGACTAAAACACTAGTTCAGGTACAGTAAAAACAGAAATGTTCATAAAGCATGTTTATATTTTCTATTATGTGTATTTTTTTAGGCTTTGTCAAGCATACAGGTCTCTGAAGAGAGTGTGATGGTAATAGGGAAATAATACACTGATGGTTATTGTCCTTCTAAATATTTTAGGCTAAGAATGTAAGTTTTTCAAGTTAAAAAAGTGATAGATTTGGGAACTGGGTAGCTGTCTCTATTTTTAAATTTTAATAACTGCTTTATCTTTCTTTCTGATAAACCAAAATTTTAAGCCAAGGTAGCAAGTGTCAATAGATCTAGAGTAATTAATGGGGATTTATTTGTGCCTGACAACAAGGGGTTAGAAATCACAATTCCTTTTAATGGTCCTAATGAATAATTATTAGTCACATAAGTCCTTAAATACACTTACTGGTTTCCATTTCTTAAAAAACACATTAAGTTAAATATTTCTCTGATATATTTCAGGATATTTCAAGATATTTTTGCATCTCGCTTTTCTAATTCTACCAAACTCAGGTGACAACCTCCTTACAAACTAGCAAAAGAATATAGGAGTGTTGGCTAAATATAATCTTAAATCAAAAAACATACAAAAATCTGTAAGAGCAATTTTTAAAAAGTTCTATTTAGAATATAAACTTGCATTTGGATATTGAAATATTAATATTAAGATATTCTCAGCACAATTTTAAAAATTAAAATATCTCTTAAATTCCCAAAATAAATTGGTAGAAATCTAGGGTGTTGCTTTGACCCATATTTATCACTTCAGATTAGTCTTTTTGAAACTATCAAAATAGCCTATGAAATATGTAGGTTTTTTTTGGTTATTATAAAAAATGAAAAGTGATACAATTGTGTTTGGCCTAAAGATGGCAAAAGAATAACAGTAGGGACATAAAGGAGAATTAGAAGTATTGAATACTGCTCCACTAAGAAGCCTTGGGTGAGTTTAAGTGAATGGTGGGCACCCCAGTCAATGCCTCTGAATGCAGTGGCTGAGATAGGGACCTCGATACTGAGAAAAGGATTGGAGTTATCAGGGAATAATGGAGAATAAGTAACTTGATTTTTGACTAAAGTAAAAAGAGCAATTTACCATGTAGTTTATATGTGTTGTTTTATGTCTAGGAGCGATATTGATTCATAATTTGGAACAAATTAAATATGAAAATTGGCTTTGGTTTTTATTCATGCTCATGTCTACAACAGAGTTATAAAAGGAATTGAAGTTGTTCAGACCTTTCTACAAAGTTTTTGTTTTTTTTTTAATACTGAAGAATATTTGAATTCATCTTCCTTCTCTTTGCTGTTTAAACAATTATCCAAAAGGACAGCCCAGAGGAATGAACTCGACTTGAATTGATTGCTCTTATATTCTACACTTCTGAGCATTTAAAAATATTTATTGATTTGATAACTCTTGTGACTGACTGGCTTAGTACTTAACCTGAATACTACCTGCCAATTTAAACACAGGTTTAGTACATTTTTAATGGCTATTTAAAAATGTTAAATGTGCAAAAAAAAAAATAAAAATTTTAAATGTGCTTCTAAACGAGTCTGTAAAATAGATTCACATTTATAGGGCTTAGCTCACTATGGTGGCTCAGAGGTATCTTTTGTAAACATGTAAATGTATTACTTGATGTTATTTATCAAAAGAAAAGAACTACATTAAATCTGCAATCAAAATATTTTTTAAATAGGAAAATTATGTATACTAACTTTGTGAGTACTTTCAGAAAATTTAGAGTTTGCAAAGCTACACACTAAGAAGTCCTTCATACTTAAGTATTATTTAGATAACAAATACCTAGTAGCTAAGGATTTTCAGAGGGCTCAGCAAATCTCAAAGCCCCTGAGTAGAAGCAGTCTTCCTAGGGCTGTGAGAACAAAGTCAATAAATGTCTTGAATGTTTGAAAACTTCTGATTTTTCCAACAATTATTTTTTGAAAAACACAATTAACATTTTGATATTATACATTTATTTTTTAACTATTTAGCATTCAAAATGATAACTCTTGGACAGCTAC